CAACATTGATAATATCCACTAGAGCAATCAGTCAGCCGTGCTGCCACAGGGATATCAGTCAGCATTCTGGAACGTACTATGGTTAGATGCAATTAGTTCATTGTGGCCATGGTATGGCTGACGACCCTGCACGGTCTTCTTGCCGTCAATGGTACCAGGAGGCAGTTCATCAGGCCAGTACATCCAGTAAACGCGTGCATAGACATGGTGCTCGTCGGAAGCTCGGATCTCAAGGATGCGCGCTACCCAAGATTCTTCTCTACTGTCTTTTTTGTAGGCGCCATTGCTTTCATTCTGAGCCTTTTGATGCTCGACGGTTGACTCGTTGGCGACATAGACGAAACCTTCGCTGTAGTACTTGATGCTATTAACTATCGGATGTTAACCATAAGCCCTCAAATGTCGCGATGCCGGCATTCCATCAGATAAGTACTTACGGACAAAGCTGTTGTATCGCGTCATGTCTTGCCATCGCTTCCCAGGTTCAACTGTGTAATACAAGTCCATGGTGTCATGGGTTTTGAAGGTGCCTGTTGGAGAGAAGGGAGAAATTTGAATTTGAACTCGTTTGTCGTCATCTTGACCGTCACGCTTCCGCTTCTTGTTTTTGTGACGCTCCTGTTCTGCGCGCGATGGATTATTCGCGTAAGTAATTGTAAAAGGACACTCTGCGCGATTCTCCTCCCCGACGGATCGCGATCGTTTGCGATTGCTCATTGTGGCGGTTTGATGCGGTTGGGTATGACCGCGTCGAGAGTGGAGAGAGAAGGAGGGGTTTCGAGCGACAGACAACGAATAGCGCGATGAAAGGGTGATAGTAATGATGAAACCAAGAAGAGCAAGATGCAAAAAGGATTATTTGGAGATGGTGGAGCAATTTTTTGATGGCGCGTTGTATATGAAGCCGAGCCCAAGCTGTCTTTGAGCGACAGATCGCGGCCTGCGATGTCCTGTGCACGGAAGGCTCGATTTGTCTGGGTGAGCAACGTCGCAATCTGCGGAAGAACTAAGAATCGGCCCAAAAGCACGAAGATGTTGTGATCACGTGACGTAGCTTGCAATGGGGCCACCTAAGCTGATGGACGGAGTTATGCCCAGGTTGTCTAACGCGTCAGAACAGGTCTTAGCTACCTATTATTCCATGCGAGTCTTGGCGTTTTCTTGTTAAAGATCAAGAATGGATTGTACGGATAGCTGAAAGTGGTTGGGGTAGATGGAAAGTGGGTAAGGAAATGATATGGACTTAGTTATTAGGTAGACTTGTAAGTGCAAAGTTTTAGTTTATCATTTACCCACCTAGGTAAGTGCACTTTGGCTGTTTCAAGACGTGCCCAAGGAAGGATGTCGAGAGAAAAATGTAGGCCTGTAGCATCGCATTCTAACTGTCACCCCTGTACATGAGCCATAGCCTTTTGTACTTTAACTCCGATCAAACCGAACATCAGCTGTGTCATTTCCAAAGCCGTTGCAACAGTTGCCAGAAAACTATCATACTTGAGTACTCCGTACATTGCAATTTATTCATAGTAATATCTGATCCGTTTATCTACGATCTGCATCCCTCCACATCTAGCCATTTACATTGCTGTAAGCACATAACTGATCATCTAACAAACGCCGTCGCTATGCTACTTATCCAATAACAGCCCGCAAAATCAACGACCTGCACGCTCATCATCAATACTTTCTCCAGATTCTCTTTCGTAATCTGACAACATTCCACGGCGCTCAGCTCCATCGTCACTTTCATCCTCTTCTTGTACAATCGAGTCTGTGATGGACTTTGCAAGCTTGGCGCCTTCTCGTCTGCCTCGTTCTACGTCAATGAACCATATCAGAGGTGCCGGAAAGCCAACTAAAACTGTGAGGAACCAAAAAGCAGGACGTATTGTGCCAGTCCTGTCAATAATGGCACCCACGATCGTTGGCCCAAAAACACTAGAACCCTTGTCTGTAATGGCGTAAAGCGCATAGAAGGCGGCCTCGGATCCAGGTGGAATAAGCTCGCCGTAGAGAGAACGGCAGTAACCGCTTAAGCCTCCGAGGACGACTCCATACACAGCAGCCAATGGATACATCTCCCATGGCTGCTGGAGTCCAAAAACGCCCCAGTTTTTGACAAATGGGAGGTATCCTAACAAACCGTACAGAGGAATCAGTTCAAATAACGCGATGCAAACGAGGATGGTCTGATGAGCTTTGAGGTTAAATAGTTGCGATATCCACGACCATCCAAACGCGCCGAAGACCCCGGCAGTCGTTGAAATGACATTGATCATACCAAGTGCCCACGGTTTCATGTGGAGTTGAGTCTTGGCGAACAAAATGGCGGTGGATGACGTGGTTGCAATTGCATCAGATAAGAGAAACCAGCCAGCGAGGAACAAGACAATATCCATCAGACGCCTAGCCTGCTGAACTGTTTTGAACAGACTCTTCCAGGCGTAGAGGATGTATGCGAGCCCTGCCATAATGCCTTTCCGGCCACTGTCTGCCAAGGGAGGTCCAGGACGGGGTCGCAGCCACATCGCAGCAGGAATAGTGAAAACGGTCCACCAGACTCCAACCATGAATAATACAACTCTCTGACCCCATGTAGTATTGTGCAGTGAGATAAGGACACCAATACAAACACATTGTAGAAATAGCGCTGCGATGTATCCAGTCCCGATTCCAATCGCCGATATACGAGTTGACAGCTCTAGCTCTTTGGATGTTATCTCTGCATGACTTGCAGTGGGCTTTAGTCGTTCGCCATCCTCGGGAAGCAACAGAGGTGATGTTGCCGTAACTATTGATGACTCAAGTTGACCTACTGATTGGCCCAGAGGACGCGACTCAAATTCTGAGCTGCCGAGATCCGGAGTATTGGCGACATTGGCCTCAATAACATCGGGATGGTATCGCACAAACAACGGGAGAAAGGAGTTTAGTAGTACAAACGATGCGCCAAAGGAGGTGTTGGAGATGACGGTCAAGAGAGCGCCGAGAATGTAGTTATCTTTGGTGATGAAGATGTAGGACATGACCGCGAAGCTTCCAACCCAAGCAAAAGTGAGGAGAAGCTTCTTGCGGTAGTTTCCATGGTCGGCGGCGCAGCTGATACTTACGACAAGCAGGGCTTGGACTAAGACGCTCACTGAGAAGGTGTACATAGCAAAGCTAGCAGTGTTGATCTCCATTCCGAACACCCAGACAATGCACTGGCCATCACCTTCGTTTTTACTATCGCTCGATCCGCATGGTGTTTTTCGGTCAGAAAGCAACACACCGTTCTCTCTGGCGAGAGTTTCGAGCAGTATGGGGATAAAGGAAGCTGAAGCAAGCGGTAGGTTAGCGGTGGGGTCCTAGTCGGTCTAGACAACGTACAAAAACTCTATAATTAAACTTACCAATTCCACAAATCACATATGTCTCAGAAGCGAACGCATACGCATACCATCCTAGAAGCTCCTTTCGGCTCGTCGGTCGAGCATCATGGCCAGAGTGACGCGGCACAACTGGCCGTCGCAAGCCACCTTCACTGTTGCGAGGGCTCATATCGCCGTCGCTAGAGGATCGTTCGTCGTCGGCCTCGAAAGCAGAAGTCGCACAAGATCTAAAGGATCGTTTTGAGATATTTGAGAGCCCTGACCACGGTCTGTGATCTTTTAGGCGCGGACGCTGAAGTTGAGACTGAGGGTGAGGTTGGAGGTTTGGCGCCATAGCTGCGGTGATCTTCGAGATATGTATGTCGCACCCGTGATCTAACAGGTGCACGTGATTGTCGTCACCTGGTCAAAGACAGGTGCTAGGCAACACTCAATGTCAGGCACTTTTCTTATGAGATTGAAATGGTTTCGAATAAGGAGAGCTTTTTCTGCTCTTGATATGCCGTGGATTGCTCCATGTACTCTGTCAGGATGTGGTAGATAGACAATTGTTGGATGAGTATGGGAACTTGGTCTCGTTGAGAAGCAATTGCGCGCACGACGATGACGATAATAACAAGTCCGAGGGAGAACAAGAAAATACTCATTATCACTAAAAGGACTGCGCATTGTCGTACTCTTAAAGTTGGCTGGTACCAAGAACCAGACTAGGCAAGGCAAGGCAAGGCAAGGCAAGGGACGGACTATCACTGTCACATCGCAACATCCTTTCCATATATGATGCATCCAGATGAGTTACCTGCCAATGTATATCAACGGCTTGATCGCAACGCCCATTCGCTGCCCTTGGGTCTTTCGCCTGAAGAGTCGCTGCAGACCAACATAATCAAGGCCACATTGGACGATCCCTGAACTATTTGGGCTCTTATCAGGGTCTTTAATGGCCATTTCAACACTAACAAGGTGCTTGCAGTTTCTCTTAGTCGATATGTGCAGCTGTTTAATGCCGAATTGGTTTAGCTTCGGGCTTGGGATTCAAGAAACCCACAAGGGCAGAGCCAATCCTGGAATATGGGTTTTCTCTTTCCAGTGCCTTGAAATCTTGAAGCGGAGTGCACTCCGCTCTCCAAGTTAAACTTGTCAGCTTATTTGACTTATAAGAAGTCAGGAAAATGAGGGGAAGTGGAGACTTGATCTCGGGAGATACTATGGATGATCCTTGATACTTGAACCTCCACTATAGATTAATCAACGTCATTGCAACCCAACATGAAGGTTGACGCACACATATGGTTACTCGAATTCCGTTCCTCTGCCTTTTAACACTCTGTCAGATCTTTGTTATGCAGGTCAGACAGACAGACAGATGTTTATTTGACATGATAAATGCGGGGGGCATCCCGTATGTCAGTCAGCACAACGTATCTGTAGTCAACTTAATTTAGGGTCATGCACAATAAGCCAGACAATATAGAACCATCTACTTATTTGCAAGAGTAGTAACGACATAGTTGGGTATTTTCGAAAGAACCAATATCAACAACCGCACTGCCTGGAATCGAAACAAAATGACATGTCCTCCTCAGTCGTACTCCCAAATCTGTCTCTCCTCAGCTTCGGATCGAGGTTCTACTTCTTGTGACCAAAGAGCTTGGACTTGAGCTTGTCAGCCAGACCAACAGGAGTCTTGGCAGTGGGTTTCTCTTCCTCTTCGGATTTCCTCTCTGGGGTTCCGACCTGAGCATTGCCAGCGCCTCCACGGCCAGTATGGTAGTCTCGGCCGTCTTGGCTCGGTCGGATCGCAATTTCTGGGATGATGTCCTGGTCCTTTCTCTCGGTAGTAGGCGTGCCTACGTCTCCAATATTGCCAGCACCTGTTGTGAAAATCTCGTCAACGTTCTGGTTCCTATCACGGTAAGACAAGACGTAGGGTAGATAGATGCCGGGCCAATCCAGCCCGACACAGCAGAATTCAAGATGTTTTGTGTTGCAAAAGAAAAAACCAGCATTTTTGGTTGGTGCAGGGTCCGCCGGTTACTTACCTCCACGACCTGCACTGTATGCGCCATCACCATGGCTCCCAACAATGCCAGTGCGGACGACCTCGCCGTCAACATACTCGGTGTCATCTGGCTTGAAGTTGCCAGCACCACCACGTCCGTGAGAGACTTCAGCCGACATAGTTACTGATTGTTTGATAATGTGTGTAGTGTAGCTTGAAGATGCGATCGTAGAGATAGGTACAAGATCAAGTTGGCTGTTGTATTTATGACTCTGATTATGGTATAGAAAATTAGCCGTTCAGGCGTAAGCTGAATCGCAGGGTATGGCGACAACTTATACCACGTCGTCACTGGGTGGAAGGGCAGAAAAGTGCAGCCGTCAGGTTAAGCTTGTTTGTATCCCGTGCCTGAGACAGTCTTTGATAAGGAACAAGGAACTGGCATTGATTACTATGGCATCATGATCAGATACAGGTACAAAGTACGAGTACACACAAAGCTGTTATCTATCGGATACTGAGCGATATCAATACTTACCAGACTATCGCGCAAACGGATTCTCTTATCAGTTCACACAAGCAGCCCCAAGACTACCGCCAAGAACGCCCAGGAGACCAACTAAAATCAACTAAAATAGTGGTTAAAGGTCACCAAATGCAGGTTCTACGGGGCATTCAGGATCGGAGTGCCAAGCACGTGCTTGATTGACAGCAGAGGGTGTGATGATGATCAAGATGAGAGTGACCAGTTAGAAGTCGTCCTCCAGTCTTTGTTTACGTATGCGAATTTGTTCAGCTTTGGTAATTTAATGTGGGGGACTCAACTTATCGATTCTGCAATGATTCTCAATTCCACGGCCACGGGTCAAGGATTCCGTCTTATCAGGAACCTTGCAACTGCCTGTCTGTACAACAAGAGTGGGATTGGACCATCAAGATTAACCGTGGGATCAACTATACCTATTTCATAGATGACCTGGTCGCAAACAAAAATGGGCAATGGGTCCAGCATGTGTCTATGCAGCAGTTCATAAGTTCTAAAGCTCTATTTATGTCAACTTTCATTTAAAGCAAGTATTATGAGTTGACTGCAATAGAACGGTCTATAAATCGTTACTTGGGTATCATGCTCACATATAAGCCCAACAACTAATTCTACAGTATGCAATACACTATCCAACACAAACCAAATCCCACAGCACGCCTCAGATCCACCCCTACTCGTAGACCAACTCCATTCTCCTCTTCTCGCTCCGGATCATCTCCAACAGGCTCTTTGATCCAACCTTCTGGCACTTGGGTCAAGAAGTCGTACCAGTAGTCACCCATAATCCTGTAACCTTCGTTTGTAGGGTGCAGGCAGTCTCTCAAGTCCTTCAAATCAAAAGTGCTAAAGTCCACAGCAACAACGTGCTTTCCGTCTTCTCGACGCTGCCGCACAACCTCGGGAATCATGGCCCGGTACTCGGTCATCTTGGACTTGAATCTATCGCAGGACGATAGAGGGATTGCGACGAGAATTACTGCATCGGGACAGTAACGGATTGTCTGATCAATCAGATGGCCTAGACGTTTTGCGGCGCCTTTTGGGTCGCTTCCCTCTTTAGAGACCGATGACCGTTGGTCCATGTCATTTGTTCCAGCGTGAAGAAGAACAACATTGGGTCTTTGCTCCAGGGATTCTGTTACATGATCGCTTATGTATTGGATAGTCTTACCAGACCATGCTGCCTGAGAGTTTGCATGAGCTTCACATCTTTGCCACGGAATTTAAGACTCACATGGTAATTGCCCTTCATCGACCCTCTCTGTCTTGTCCCGGCAAAAACAACATCTTCACCTAGACACTGGTCAACATATATTCTCGAGAGCACGCTTTAAACCCTTCCAAAAACTCACGAGATAGATGCTCTGCAAGAGAAAGTCGATAACCGTTTCCATCGCCACCATTCGAACTACTCCCCGCTCCTTCAGTGATTGAGTCTCCGACGCAGAGAATTCGCAAGGGGGTTTCTATTCTCGGCGAGTCGTCAAGGTGAGTGTTTGTGTAGTTTAAGACATCGTAAGCTGTGAAACCAGAAACGTTCCAGGCTATCTGCGCCGTGTCTTGTCGAGATAGGATATTTCCAGCTTGAGCTGTGCTCAGAAGACAGAGAAAACGTGCGTGCCACATACCGATGCTACGAAATGAACATATTCCAACATAAGAGATCAGCTCAGACCAAAATCTTCAATCGTGGGTTTTATACCACAAGTTTAAAGTTACAGTCAAAAGATTAACGTTAAATCTCTTGTTGGTTCTTGTCGATCTTACTGTCAGCATATCTCCATGGTCCCACATCCTTTGGGTGCTGATCCACGATGAAACACATCTTTGCAAGGTTCTGCACTCCGTATGTTTTCCGCAAATTGCTGGTATTAAATCACGCACCCATCACGGAGACGATGAACTGTTTGCATAAATAACAACAGAAATTCTGCGCCATGAACAGTCATTACTAAACCAGACTCACAATGTTTGTCCATGTACACAAGCTTGGCTTTCGCTTTGCCTAATATACCAGATGTCATAAGATTTGGTAACTGTTGTTCTTGCTCTATCTTCGATATCATCTCCCTTGTCGGTCCATTCTTTGAATCCTCAAAACCTCTGGTGAGGAATACTTTCATCTAAAAGTTCATCAACGCCATATCAATCACATAAACTCCATGTCGTGGTCTTTCTTAGATCTTCTCGTTATTGATAGCGGCACCCATCAAGCCTTTCCAGCGCGGCCAACCTGCAGGATCTCACCTGTCAGGGTCTCATCGCCTCGCAAGACTGGCCACGAGGTGCCATCAGACTTGGCAAGGACAAATTCCAGCTTCGTACCAAGCACTCTGTAGGATGACTTCTCTGGGTCAATCGAGGCGTAAAGAGGAACTTCAGCGGCGTAGCGCTTAGGAGGCGAGTCGGTCGTTGTCAGGTCGAGGCTAAGCTGATTGGACTGGAGTTCGATCTTTGCTGTGCTCTTGTCAATCTTTTTCAAGAAGAAAGAGGCGATGACATTGACGGGGGTCTGATAGAAATCGTGTCTTAAATCGTTAGCATAAACAGCACAAGCCCAGCCAGTCATTTTGGACTTACCTGACGTTGGAAACCACTTCCTCGCTGCTAGCGTCGTCCTTCTTTCCACTACCAACGAACAAATGTTTGTTCTTGGTCTTGCAACCCTCAATCTTCATGAATTGGTCAAACTCCAACACTCTCCTCTTGCAGCAGGAGTAGCCTTTGCTTCCCTCGTGAAAGATTGGTACTCCTGGGTGGTGAACACACTCCTCGGTATCTCTCGAAATACCCTTCTTGTAAGTTGCGCCGCATGCTCTTCTCTTGCAGCCAACACCATCGGCAATCTCGAGGCTGGGATCATCGTCTTCTGACTCGGGAGCTGGAGGAGGTGGGGTGGGAGCATGCTGGGCAGTGGGAATTGGTGCACGGGAGGGAGTCGCCGCGTTCAGCGCATCAATTTTCTGGGCGAGAGCAGCATCGTCCTGCTGGGGCTTCTCCTCTAGCTGAGGCGGCTTGTCGGTGGTTGAATGAGTGCCTGTGGTGCAGGGCGGAATTTCCATAAACTCATCAAAGGTCAAGACTCGAGGCTTACAGCACTTCCATCCTTTGCGTAGTAAGTCAGTGTATAGAACATGAGACTGCTGTTGCTTGATCGACTTACCTTTCTGCCCCTCATGGAAAACAGGCGGACCGGGGTGGTACTCGCACTTCTCATCAGGGTCCGTAAACTCCTTTCCACAACCTTGATGGACACACTTTTGGGCCATTTCGATGATTGTATGAGGTTTGAGCTCCACAAGCTTGAATTGAGGATTTTTGAAAGTATAAGTAAAAGGTAAAAGACGGGTTTGGGTATTGCAGACTTTGGTGGGGTGGGAGCTTCTAGAATTCAAGCTCTGACACCCATGAAAGCGATGACGATGCCCATTGACGGCGAAAACAGCTGGGTCAGCTATGGTCTTACCGCTTTCCTTTTTCAGTGCGGGGTTGCATAGTATCCATCTCATCTGTGAATAGGTACTTTCTAATCTGCTCTGTATCTCAGACCATTTCAGATTGTACCCAGATTTCATATGTGCGCAATCATTGGTTATCACATTTAAGCTTTTGATTCTTCTTAATTATCTCTTATAATGTTTGCAACTCGTCGTCTTCTATTTTCAACAAGGATCACTTTTTTTACTCGCGAAACCTGTGGTCTCTGCAAACAAGCGAAGCATGTTTTGTCCGATGTGTGGGATAAGAGACCATTCGATTATACCGAAGTTAATGTCGACGTTCCAAAGCCTGAGTCCAAACAATGGAGGGATATATATGACTTTGATGTTCCTGTGGTAAGTGAAACAAATTAATTTAGAATTATTCGTTACTCACATGAAATTTTAGATACATATCAGCAAGTCTACAGCGCCTGAGGAAAACCCTGCCCGGGTTGGCAAAGCCATCAAGTTGATGCACAGATTCACAGTTGAACAAGTTGAGGCTCAAATGGACAAGGTAGAAAAGGACTGAGGTCCTAATTTCTGAATTATATTTCCTAATACCCTTTACCCCTGGTCGGCGCAGAGCTTCCATCTGCAAAGCTGAGCTGCTCTTTGGCCACCAAGGCCAACGATGTGTAGTCTGTCACCACGTTCATCATATCAAATCCCATATCGGCATAGACCTTCGCCTGCTCTCCTCCTGTACAGTATACTCCTGTCTTCTTGCCTGCTTTTTGGCCGGCAGCAAGGATCTTGGCAATGGCGTCTTTCAGTTCAGAGGCCATGGCTCCCTCGATGATAGGATGGCCAATGGCGTTTCCTATTATGTATTAATATTTCCTGAGTTTTGTATCAGCCTTGAGGAACCTGCCTAGGTCAAATGGCCCAATGAACAGAACGTCAATTCCATCTACAGCAGCAATTTCGTCAATAGACTCAAGTGCCTCCTTGGTCTCAATCTGAACGATGGTTAGTAGGGAATCGTTTGCCTGTTGCAGATATTGTGTAAAAGTGGGCTCAGGATGGAATCGTTCGGGAGCAATGGGAGATCCAAACCCTCGTCGACCTTGAGGGGGAAACTTGGCAGATTGGACGAGTTGTCTCGCCTCTTCGGGTGTCCTCAACAACGGAACGACGATCTTATCAGAGTCAGTATGTTGTATCATGACCTTCCAACTGTTAATACTTACACCATGAGCACCGCTATCGAGTGCCCCTAATGATAATGTTAATACTGCCTTGTTAACCAGATGTTTCTGTTTGAATCTTACGTTTCACCATCCATCCTTGCATATCAGGCAATCTCACAATGGGTGAGACTCCTAACGCTGCAATGGCTGGCACAGCGTCGTGCATTGCGCCATCTAAAGGGGCGTCAGGATTCCTCTGTGAGAAGTATCAATGAGCTCCTACCATCTATGTTGCCATGTTCACAGTCTACCAAGACCCAATCGACTCCTGATCTTGCCAGTGTGCGTGATACGTTCGCTCCAGGCAGCATCTGCCAGGCACCGAATGCCTTCTTCCCCCCCAGGAGAGCTGTTCGCAGTCTGTTAGACTTCTGCATGGCAGACATGTTTCTGGTTACACCGTGCAGTCGGAGTGTGTTGGTCACAAAAGCTGGTCGTAGCCGCAAGGTTGCCGATGACCATACTCTACTCATATCGGCTAGTATATCTGAACTCGTGTAGGGGTAATGGATAATAAACGTACGAAGTCAATTTACTCGGAGAAGCAAGCCCCGATAGCCCATTTTAAAGTAGAATATCGTATATTTTCCCGGAGCCCCCCCGCTCCCATCCCCAGGTTTCTAAGCGGCGAGTCATAGACTGCGGGGTTTCGTGGGGAATATCAAACTGCTTCAGGAAACCAGAGCCTATCTTTGCGGTCTACAATTGGCCGTCACCGGAGCTCGTGTTGAAGGGCGGACAGTATGTTCACTCACAGGGCGCGGGCGGAATGAGCATGATTGGGTATCTGTGTTTTTATTATCTGTTTTGCAAACTGTAAAATCTTGCATCTGTCTAATCGATCGCTGTCAAAATAAGCCAGAAACGAAGTCCATTTCTAATAGCAGACTGTTCCCAATATCATCAACTTTGGGTCATCTTGACACCTAAATATCCATTACAAATAATTGGGACGTGGTCCCGATGGTGGCACTGTTCGGCTTCACTAGCCGAACCGTCCCGTCTGCCGATGAACCTCTCGTCCAAGATACAGCATGCAATTGTATCCACGGTAGCATGGCAGTTCATAATGTTGCCCCAAAATAAAACATCTGTTGTAGCCAATGATTTGGTGGCATCTATTGTCGGAAACTGATCATCCTCGGTTTCGAATTCTCTCAATCCACATTAAAACTAAGAGGCCTGAAGACATCTGGAAACAACATGTTAGTAAGCAGACACAAGGTCACCACATAAACAAACATACCCCAGGTAATCCTCCTTGATGCTTCCAATGGCCCACATCTCGCCAACTTCTGTTCTAGTGCCGATGATCTTCACTCGAACGTGCGTCTGTGGTTCGATAACGGTATCCTCGTTGTTGGTGAATTGAGGTGGCGTGGCATTAGGATCCCACTTAACGTCGTTCGGGATCAACTGAGGTCTACATTAGAGCTGTAGTCGCACTATGACTGCCAGGAGAAACTTACATGAGCCGACACAAAAAGCTGCAGGGGCCCCGCATGAGCGAAGAAGCCTTGCGGGTTTATAGAGTGGACAACAGCATCAACCTGAGTCAAGTCAGACTCCTGGATCATTGATCTTCGGTAGTGGTAGCCTTACCGTCTCGCCTTTGAACGGCCGCCATACCACGGCTCGATATCCCACAGTGAACTCGGCCATACCAAGACCAGGGAGGATTCGTCCTTCGGAAATTTCGAAAGCATCCATGATGGAAATGATGAAGTAGCTGCCAGCGCATGTGCCTTCGACATCCTTCAGGAGCTTGCCCGTCACGAGCTCGTGCATGTTGCGGCCCATGAAAGAAGGGTGCAAGGTGACCTTACGTTCCAAGTTATAAAGGAAAAACATGATGAAATGGATTTAGAAGAAGCGAAGATGTTGATAGGAGGTGAATAATCGTATTATTTGAACTGAATTTTTTTTTGGATGTCGCGATACGGTAGATAATAGGCGAGCGGAAACAAGTCAGGATTCGATGTAGCGGGAGCTTAAGCTAATAAGTACCGCAGAGTAGAAGTGCTAATGCGATCGATGGGAAGGAAGTGTCGGGGGAGAACGCGTGCGACAGATTATGAGTAGCGACAGGTCGACGTAGATTTGGAAGGAGAACGCGCTAAGGCGGTGCGTGTTCTTCGCCAGAGGAAGTCGGAGGTGAAATGATGCAGGTTGGAAAAGGCCTTGGCGTGTCGAGTCAGAGTTGACTGCTTGCCTTGTTGACGTGGGCGCAAAGAGGTTCACGTTTTGTTGTAACAAAGAATGCGAAGTGAGATGCAAGTTTGGACGAGGCTGAGTAGGACTATGTGTGTCTATAATCCTATCCAATCAAAGCTCGTGCAGCACCGCCACATCTCATATATGTGGCTGAACAAAGACACTTTTGGCGACTGATGTACTTTAGATAGTTGACCAATTCAGGCACTTGACAAATAAAATTACGAGTGAATAATGTTATTTTTCGTTGGTTTCCGTATATGATTGTTATTGAATTCAGCTCAGAGTGATGATTTCGGCAGGGATGAATGGTTTAAAAGTGAGCCTGCTGTAGAGATCTAAATAAATACTTACTATTGTATGGTTCACTGTCAACATAACGACCTACTTAGTAACCTGTAATATGCAAATGAACCTGGCAAAAACAAAACAAAAAACAGTCCTTTTGAAACCAGTGAGAGTGATATCGCCGCGATAAACCACACGTAAACAGCTCAATGCTTCAAGTAAATAGCCAAAGCTTAATAGTAGAGGTTTTCTAGAATAATCCCACAAGATATGGTATGATTAGGAGAAGCGAATGGAAGCCTTTCAAGACCTACCTAAACTTGTACTAAAGTGTAAACCATGTACGTACTAAAAAGACAAATAAAATCTGGGGAACTTGCAAAAGGACAGAAGAAGTAACCAATCCTATGACATGACGGGAGACTAGACTAAGGTTCTCTAAGGTTCGTACCTTAGTTTTCCGTCTGCTTGGCGGTAAATCATTAAGTGCGTACCTGCCTAAGCAGGTAATCAAGGGTCTCTGCCCGAGTTAAGGAGATGAGCACACGAGCTTGAAGGAACAATTGGCATGGATCAAGGGGCTGGAAGGAAAAGGAGGCTCCAAGTTATGGGACTCTACTCCACAGAGACAGGTGCGGCGGTGCAATTCAAGCGGGTCTTTGCCGGGTTTGGGGAGCAAAGCCTCGCAAAAAGGAAAGCACATGAAGAATGGACAACTCAGCAAAACCAAAACCAAAGCCAGAGCCAGAGCCAAAAGTCAAAGCCACTCAGTCAACCACTCTCATTCTTGCTCTCATTCGCTTCATCGTACCGAGCCACCCGCATTCTCCCTTGTCTCGTTTCGCCTCGCCGTATTTGGTTCTTACTTTCGAATAACTTCTTTATTCGTTTTTTTTACTTTTACTTTTACCATAGGTATCTTGCTTGTCTCATTCACTTCTACTCACTCCTTCATTGCCTCTGCTGCCTGCATCAGCACATCCTCAAACAAACCTCGGTTTCTGGAGAAAGGGGTCCATTCACCTCGTCTCGGATTGTGCTACCTTGCACTGCCTTATGCTACATTAAACTTGGGGTAGCCACCTGATTATATACCTACCTAATTGTAGTCGACTTCAACATCGCACCACGAGCAAGCATCATCTTTTACCTGTCAACTTGCGACTTTCAAGGTTCTTTTAATATCTTCCCAGTCGCTTTGGCTATCTCTCTCCCTTGAGCTCAGATCCACAACCGCAGTCTCAGAAATCGTCAAACACTGTATAGTTCGACTCACGGACCACATTAAGTCGAGTCGCTTGTCTGGTTGATCGCGACTCGATAAACTTTTATTCGCGTCACTCTTCCAACTCCAGTTTGCTGCCGCCATTGTCTGGTCTCGTCCCAGCTCATCCCATCTCATCTTGTCGCTACCAAGGTTCTAACAATCATGTCTCTGGATCTTGAACACCATCTCACCTTTGTACGTCTGGCTCGAGACTGGCTCATTTTCACTGCATATCAAACTCATGCTAACATTTTTCAGTATGGTGCTTATCACCATAATCCGGTCAATGTTGCCATTCATATGGTCTGCGTTCCCCTCATCCTCATCTCGGGGTTCTCTTTGGTTCGTCTTTCCACCTCGTGGTTGCTGGGCCATGTATGCATTTGCATTTTGGCCCATCAACGTGAGCCTAATACACCAGCTTACCATTCTACAGGCCACATACAGCGGCACTCTCATCCCCACACCATCTTGGCTAACCTTCCCTTATATGGAGCCGAATCTTGGCGTCATTGCTGCCAGTCTGTACTCTCTGCTTTATCTGCTCTTGGAGCCTTTTGCTGGCTTTCTTCTGGCCGCCTTCTGTATGGCTGGGGTAGCTTCAGCCAACTACCTACGCCAACAGAACCCTGGCTCAACCTTTCAGGGTGCTCTAGCTGTACACATCGTCTGTTGGATCTTCCAGTTCATTGGCCATGGAAAGTACGAGGGTCGAGCTCCCGCTTTGCTTGATAACTTGGTCCAGGCTATCTTCCTAGCTCCCATGTTTGTGTGGCTTGAAATCCTCTTCAAGTTTGGATACCGACCTGAGCTCCGAGCCCGTGTCAGCAAGAAAGTCCAGATTGAGGTCGAGAAGTTCAGGGCTAAGAACGGCAAGGCTCAATAAAGCAGATTTATAGCCAATTTGACCATCGAGACAAATCACGTTCTGATGTGTAGGAATACACCTTAGACACCGTCGATCGATGATCAGCGCAGGATACTCGAATCAAAGTGGTCGTGGAGTCAATGGATGTAATGAAGGAAGTTATAGACTACACCACCAAAGAGAAGGTGGTATTTGTGATCTCATTCCCTGGCTTCGCTCACGTACTTGGGGTTCCCAAGAGCAGTATCGATTGCTTATACGGCCGCCACGTTTGTTGCCCTGAGGTTCACGTCAAAACCAATATGCATATTTAGGATGAAGGAGGGTCTGAATAGGGTCAGGCCATATTGGCCGGCTCAACATTGCACGAGGTGTCAGGAGTTGTGTTATTTGCAATTTAAATTAGCAATTATCAGTCGAGCATGTAGCCAACGTTGTCTATTCACATCTCATTTTAAGGATATATTAGTTTGAGGGCCAATAACTTGTTCTTGTGTTGCTTCTTCTCGATTAGCTAACTCTGCTTTAGGGTTAATGAGGCCAGATTACCGACAAAACAGGACGATTATCTATTCTTTGGAAGGCTCGTCGTCATCTACATGGCAGAGTGGCGCCTCGATGGATTTGCGAAGCTCTCTAGAGTGCTGAGCAATATACTGAGGCCAAGCTCCTGTAACCTGCGAGATACGCATGTCAGTGCGAGTCTTTGCTCTTTCGGCAATGGCCAATGCCTTGTTGCGGAAGTGAGCCAGAGCTGAACTCTTTGGTTCGTTCATCCGGTAGAGTTTATTCAAGTTTGTGGTTCGACGGGCGCCGTACAAGGTTGCTTGGCCTTTCAGTGTCCAACCTGATGGGATGGAGCGGTGATTGAGGCGCCGTACTGGACGGGGGCGTCTGCGGTTTGGACGATTTCGGCCCAGCTGGAGGCTGGAGTTACCGTACCGAGGTTGCTGTCTTTCTGGATTTCCTTCCCCGCTTGGTGGGGGTGAGAAAGCAGCATGTCCTGGCTCTTGTGCCTCTGATGATGTCTCAGGGGTATTCTAGACTTCCCGAGACATATCAGAGGATGCATGGGGCTCGGGTGTTTGCTCAGTAGGCTTGGTCCTGCATCCGTGGCAAGCGCTCGTTGGTCTTTGCATACCTTGAACTGTCTTGTTGCAGGGTTGGACAGGCCAAAGCCAGTCAAGAAGAGGTCGGAGACACGCCTCACGGCGTTCTTTGAACTTTCAGCAAGGAATCCGGACACGAGAAATATCCCGGCATTGGAAGTTGGAAATTTGGTAGCACATTGTGAAGGCGATGGTTGATATTGTCGGGGAACGGGATATGGTTCTGTATCAAAGTTAGTAATCGCGGGTGTCGATTGAGAATGTATTGATTGAATGGGTTTCCGTGGCAATAACTTGAGGGATTCCTGAAGGTTTATATTTATATGTGATGTTTGTACTCAGGCAGCTATTTTATGAACATGCTCTTTGTTCCAAGGCCAGGCTCCATCTGGTTTCGTTTATCTGTCGGCATATGTTACCTTGGGATACTCGGCTTTGTTCTTTGTCTAATTATAACACCCTCCAGTAGTTGGAAGTAACAAGTCGTGTGATCAAAGCCGTGTGAATACGCAGCATGTTCGGGTGATCACGATAAACAAGTCCCTGAAATAGTAACATATAGTTTGCACAGAAAATCATGACAATCTGGGCACAGCTATTCTGTACGAACTATCTCTTGATTTCTTTTAACTCAACACTCAAACAATAGTCCCTGCCTCTCCCTCCAATCGTCTTCCAATTTGAAATATCACAAAAACTCCATTCTCCTTTTTCATTATTCATTTAAGTCTAAATCATGCCCATTAGTGTGGGTTTCTGCCATGATCTTTATGTCTTACCTTGTAGATTATATACTCAGGTAACCTTCTATTTTTTCCGACTAAATGTGTTCCAGTTCTCGTGTCAAAAGATCTCGGTGAATGGCCGTATAAAAAGGCCTATTCTCTTTGTTGTTATGTTCGTTTTAATCTAAGCAGTATCCGTTAATGCAAGTTTCTTTAAAGCATGGTGGCTCTGTGGGTGCCTTACCAGGTCGTATACTCGAGTGACTTTTTACTCTTTTCAGCGAGGGGTGCCACAGTTCCCTCCCGTCCCCTTCTCCTCCCATCAGTCGTATCGTCTTCATCGATATCACTACTCTTGGTCATCCGTGGCGATGAGCTCCGCCGGCACCCAAGGCTTCATTTCCAACAGGGTAAAGCCGGCCGGCTTCTCTTCCATGATGATCCCTCCGTTCATGACGTTGTACTCATAGTCAAGGTATGAGAGTGGACGGTGCTCCTCGTCAATCTTACCGCCCGTGCTGGTACGGTTATGAGAGACGGAGGTAGGGTTGACTCCGTCAGGGTTGGGGGGCGTCTCCAGGAACTTATTTCTGCCTGACCAGTAGACGGAAAACAGTTCCGGGATCATGTGGGACTGCCAGATACCATTCGAACATTCTTCCTTGGAGGCACGGTTTCGCTCAAAGAAGAAATAGAAAGCGATGCCAACACTAAGCCTAGTAGCCAGGAGAAATATTATGAAGAATTTCATGTTGTCGATTGTGTGGCTGACTTTGCAGGTATCTTGTGATGTTATCTTGTGGTGATATCTTGTGACAATGGATTGCAGAGACAAGTTATCAGGTGGGCCATCAGCAGCTTTCTTATAGATGTGAATCTCAACATTTTAACATTAGGTTTCTTTCGTCTCCAGTGTGTGGGTGGGCAACTGACGTGTACGTTTGAGAACACGAACCATATTGGCCACCCTGAGACGCGTTTCTTGAACATTCTTATGATACAACTGAACTCTTGCCTATCGCTGGTTGCTTCCATCCTGACGCGGCATATTGAACCTAACAACGTAACGGAGCACTTAGGGTTTGGATAAGTTGTCCTTTTATACTTTCAGAAGTGAGGGGCAGTATTCAGAGTCTGTTTTTGTGGAAACTTCTCGTGGAGTGTTTTGGAGCTTTTATTCCGCTGGTCATCCGAACATGAAGCCATACCAGGATTGATGCTATATCAGCTTCTGTCTATGGTGTCACGTACCTCATGTGACGAATATGAACTACAGTGACTAACCATTGTCTCTGGACATGGATACGCATTGAAACAGTAGCTAAATAAACAGCCGCTTGTCTTGTATTTTTCTTAATTGACATCAAGTCACTGCCTTCTTTCTCATTGTGAGGTCTGCAATACATTTGTGGTGAGGTTGGTTTTCAGTTGGGGAATGAGTAAGCTGCCTCAATTGGCCAATGGCGTGTAAGCGAACGTCGGAGATTTGTTGCGAGCTATAGGGTAGAGAAATTTCAAATGACAGGACGACTGTCGCGGTTGCTATGCCACTTTCTCTGCGAAACTTCGATGGCTATCACAACATACGATAACAGCTAATGTAGGCTCGGGATCTCGGCGTTTCTTTTTTTTATAGAGTTATCCATTGCTATTTGCATTTGCTGAGAATCTAGAGGTGTGTTTGGACTGTGGGGTTTAGACATATTCCAGTAGGTATTTTGAAAGTTGTATTGAGTTTTAATCAAGTTTATCAGTAGTATTTAACATTCATTCGTCCATAATAGACGGATCCAGAAGCCAGATAAAGTAAATAACATGGCGAGAGTCTTATCATGGATACGTCAGAAAATTTTGCACATCATGACATGACCCGATAGTTGACCCGTAAAGATCTCGACATTCGGAATCTCTTCATGACTCAGAAACTTCCGCCAGCGGCTTTCACTACCGCTCAGGCCCCTCAATAGCGGCGGAAAAGGCGGCGAGTTGTCACCGCTAGAGCCGCCGATGCCGGGCAATCAACTATCTTAGCTTGACATTAACAACACGGCATTGGCTACCTTTCCTTTTTTTTCAATGGGTCATAGAGAAGTCGCCATTTATTCTAGACGCATGCTAGCACCCAGTAGAATTAATTCCCTTGTTGCTGACAGCCGTTTGTATGCCGTGTCCTTGTCCTTTCTGTCTTTTTTCCTACCAGGATTCCAAGGTGCCCTGAACTGTCGCCGTAACCGGACCCATAGCTTAGCAGGATCCGGGGAGCTCTAACAAGGGCCTGCAGGTACTACAGTTGCTGTATTAGCCTGTGCTGTAGCCCACGTCCAAGTGTTGAGAGCTTCATAAGATAGATAAATAAACAGATAGGCCATTAGACGGGCAAACACATAAAACAATTGGATAGACTGATGACTTAAAAGTCCAATTGGGATAATAGACGGCAAATGATTTGACAACTTTCGAGCTATGTGCCTTGGATACTCCACGAAGAGCCCCTCGAGAGAGACGCTAGTAGGGGACGATCTCTATTGAATCTTGGTTAATTTTCTCACTACGACCGAAATGTTGGGGCAGTCCACTTGGCTTGGGTGTATCTATCTCTGTCTCTGTGTCTCAGGAATCGGAGGTATCTGAGCACTAACTTGGCCTAGGGATTGGTTGGCTGCGTCACGACGTAGGTACTCGTAGAGTCACACACCCACCAGAGAATAATTTTCGGAGTGCGCAAAGCTTCCCCTTATCTTATCAGCGGCAGTGTGCCGCCCGCCATTTTTCTTCCTTCAAAGAGTGCCCATCTCCCATACCTCTCTCTTCTCCCCTCTCTTCTGGATATCATTCCACAGAGTTACCGTCTCTTGTGTCCTTCACAAACATCGCTACCCTCGACGTTTAATTCGGGACAAAGAAGGGCAACCTCGCCAGCGGGACGGTTCAGCTTGCATTGATACGTGCAAATTATCCGCTGCAATGCCTCTCAACCTGGCAACCACTCTCGCTGGTCGAGCTCCGGCCCTGCTCCGTCATGGACGCAGGGTCCCGCGAGCTTTGCCCTCTCGCTCATTCTCCTCGGTGAGCCCTCTCGCCGCCTCATGCCGAGTCTCAATGGCTGCCGCTCGACCTGCCAACTCGAAGCGCCTGGGTACCCTCAAGGTTATGCGCGGATACAGCTCTGTTGCTCAAGCCGCTCCTAACGCCAAGGCCTACCTCGACAGTGGAGTTATCAAGCCTTCTCAGACCGTCGACGTCAAGAAGGTTCTTGTCATTGGAAGTGGTGGTCTTGCCATTGGACAGGCTGGAGAGTTTGACTACTCAGGTTAGTATACTCAAACCAAACCCGCCTATCTATGATATGCGAAAATCTCACCGACTTACCCCGCGAATCCTCACCAAAATATTAAAAAAGACACACAAACTGACTTTAATCAATCACAGGCGCTCAAGCCCTCAAGGCTCTCAAGGAAGCTGGCGTTGCTTCTGTGCTTATCAACCCCAACATCGCTACCATTCAGACCAACCACAGTTTGGCTGACGAGGTTTACTACCTCCCCGTCACCCCCGAGTATGTTTCCTACGTCATCGAGAAGGAGAAGCCCGATGGCATCTTCCTGTCCTTCGGTGGCCAGACTGCTCTCAACCTCGGTGTTGAGATGCAGCGACTCGGACTCTTCGAGAAGTACGGCGTCAAGGTCCTCGGTACTAGCGTCCGAACTCTGGAGCTGAGTGAGGATCGTGACCTCTTTGCTAGGGCTTTGGAAGAGATTAACATCCCCATCGCCAAGTCGATCGCCGTCGGCACTGTCGAGGAGGCCCTTGAGGCTGCTGAGACCGTTGGATACCCCATCATTGTCCGAGCTGCTTATGCTCTCGGTGGTCTGGGTTCCGGTTTCGCCAATAACGAGGAGGAGCTTCGCAACATGGCCGCTCGATCTCTCACCCTCTCACCTCAGATCCTTGTCGAGAAGTCGCTCAAGGGCTGGAAGGAACTTGAGTACGAGGTCGTTCGTGATGCTAACAACAACTGTATTACCGTGTGCAACATGGAGAACTTTGACCCTCTTGGCATTCACACCGGTGACTCTATCGTTGTTGCCCCTAGTCAGACCCTGAGCGATGAGGAGTACCACATGCTCCGAAGTGCTGCCATTAAGATTGTCCGACATCTTGGTGTTGTTGGCGAGTGTAACGTCCAGTATGCTCTGCAGCCTGATGGTCTCGACTACCGTGTCATTGAGGTCAACGCCCGTCTTTCTCGATCATCTGCTCTGGCCTCCAAGGCTACCGGATATCCTCTTGCCTACACTGCCGCCAAAATCGGTCTCGGACACACCCTCCCCGAGCTTCCCAACGCCGTTACCAAGACCACTACCGCCAACTTTGAGCCTTCTCTTGACTACATCGTCACCAAGATTCCTCGATGGGATCTTTCCAAGTTCCAGCACGTCAAGCGCGACATTGGCAGTGCAATGAAGTCAGTCGGTGAGGTTATGGCTATTGGCCGAACCTTTGAGGAGTCTTTCCAGAAGGCCATCCGTCAGGTCGACCCCCGATTCGTTGGATTCCAGGGCGACAAGTTTGAGGATCTTGACTACGAGCTCCAGAACCCTACCGACCGCCGATGGCTCGCTGTCGGCCAAGCCATGCTTCACGAGAACTACTCCGTTGATAAGGTTCATGAGCTGACCAAGATTGACAAGTGGTTCCTCCATAAGCTGCAGAACATCGTTGACTGCACTCGTGAGCTTGAACAGGCCGGTGGCCTCCAGAACCTGAAGAAAGATCAGGTTCTCAAGGCCAAGAAGATGGGCTTCTCCGATCGACAGATTGCCAACGCCGTCAAGAGCACTGAGGACGAGGTCCGTGCCTACCGTCTCAGCTTCGGAATCCACCCTTGGGTTAAGAAGATTGACACTCTTGCCGCCGAGTTCCCTGCCAACACCAACTACCTCTACACCACCTACAACGGCTCTACTCACGATGTCACCTTTGAGGACAACGGCACTATTGTCCTTGGTAGCGGTGTTTACCGAATTGGTAGCTCCGTTGAGTTCGATTGGTGTGCTGTCAGCGCCACCAGGGCTCTTCGAGAGATGGGAGAGAAGACCATCATGATCAACGTAAGTTTAGTGTTTTTTTTTTCCATTTCATAAGCTTAGTGTTCTTTCATAACTGCATGCAAGTTTTGTTGTTGGCGACCCCACATGTTGGAATAGCGACACTCGACCAGAACCGAACCTGGTCTTCAACACTTCTTTTCTTCACTTCTACCATGCACACAAGCTAATTAAAACGCATTAGTATAACCCGGAAACGGTCTCCACTGATTACGACGAAGCTGATAAGCTTTACTTTGATGAATTGAGTTACGAGCGCATCATGGATATCTACGAACTGGAGAACTCAAAGGGTGTTGTTGTGTCCGTGGGTGGCCAGCTGGCTCAGAACGTCGCTCTTAGGCTTCAGGAGACTGGCGGTGCTAAGGTTCTTGGAACTGACCCCAGGGACATTGACAAGGCTGAGGATCGTCAGAAGTTCTCTGAGATTCTTGACAGCATTGGTATCGACCAGCCTGCCTGGAAGGAGCTTACTTCAGTCAAGGCTGCTGAGCAATTTGCCGAGGAGGTTGGCTACCCCGTCCTGGTTCGCCCGTCTTACGTCCTGTCTGGTGCTGCCATGACTGTCATCTCAAGCAAGGCAGACCTTAAGGACAAGCTCGAGGCTGCCAGCAACGTTTCCCCTGACCACCCCGTGGTCATCTCCAAGTTCATTGAGGGAGCTGAGGAAATCGACGTCGACGGTGTCTCTTCTAATGGTGAACTTATTCTGCACGCTGTTTCTGAGCACGTTGAACAGGCTGGTGTTCACTCTGGTGACGCCACTCTTGTTCTCCCTCCTGCAAACCTCGATAGCACGACGATGGAGCGTGTCAAGGAAATCGCCAAGAAGGTCGCCCAGGCCTGGAAGATCACTGGTCCCTTCAACATGCAGATCATCAAGGCCGAGAACCCTGAGGGTGGTGAGCCTCTCCTCAAGGTTATCGAGTGCAACCTCCGTGCTTCTCGATCTTTCCCCTTCGTCAGCAAGGTCCTCGGAACCAACTTCATCGATGTTGCCACCAAGGCTCTTATTGGCAAGGACGTTCCCCCAACCACTGATCTCATGGCTGTGAAGCGTGACTACGTTGCCACCAAGGTTCCCCAGTTCTCCTGGACCCGTCTTGCTGGTGCCGACCCCTTCTTGGGTGTTGAAATGTCTTCTACTGGTGAGATTGCTTGCTTCGGTAAGGACCTCGTTGAGGCCTACTGGACCTCTCTCCAGTCAACCATGAACTTCCGCATGCCCGAGCCTGGCGAGGGTCTTCTCTTCGGTGGTAACGTCTCCAAGCCCTGGTTGACTCAGGTTGTCGACTACGTTGCCCCTCTCGGCTACAAGATGTACGCTGCTAGCCCCGAGGTTAAGGAGTTCATTGAGGCCAAGGCCAAGACCAAGGTCGAGGTCGAGGTTATCGAGTTCCCCAAGGAGGATAAGCGAGCCCTCCGAGAGGTCTTCAAGAAGTACGATATCCGCGGATGCTTCAACCTTGCTGAGTCACGAGGCAAGACCACATTGGACGTCGACTATGTTATGCGCCGAAATGCTGTCGACTTTGGCGTCCCTCTGTTCATGGAGCCTCAGGTAAGTTTGACAGACCCACCCTAAATTTCATAAGAGTATCATAAAACTAACCATCGTATCATAATAGACCGCTATCCTCTTTGCTCAGTGCATGAGCGAGAAGCTTCCCCGTTCCGAGGGTATTCCCGCCGAGGTTCGCCGATGGTCCAACTTCATCGGTGGCAAGCCTCTGTAAAACCATACATGGCGTTTTTGTTAATGGGAAGGAAAAGGACTAGTCAAGATTTTAAGACCATGTGATGGGTGAAATCTTTCTTTTGGAGAGGGCGGGGGTTTCGGGAGTTTATGTGATGATTGCTTGGGCTTATAGTATACCCGCCCTCTTTGTACCTATAGATGGAGTAGATGGGAAATGAAGCATGTTTCATAAGACACGATTACGCCTGCCATGTGGATTTCTATTATAGCCGAATTGGCTGTTGCATTATTCATATGATCGGTGGCCATTAGATAGCAGATGCTAAAAAATCCTTACTCATTATGACCCCTAGCTACAAAGTGAGGAATGAAGTCAGGATTAGGCTTCGCAAATCACGTATAACCACCAAGAAGTCTAGCTATATATGCCCAGGAAGTTCGCGCGGCTAAGTTGGCCGTATACTACCAAATGTAATTGAGAATACTTGTGAAGGACGGTCACAACCCTGAATCAACTCGTTGAAAATCCTTCAGCTGTTAGTAGAGGAGGCCTGCGCCGATTGCGCTTCCTGACGACAACCAACACATGCTCTTAAAGCGGCCCACTATTACAGTGATTCAAGAGCAGAGCAATGAATCAAAACATAGCATAGTTCTGTGAGAAACTGCTCACATGATTCAGTTATTCAGCTCATTTCGACTATGAAAGGACCCGATTTCCTCCCGGCTACGACCTCACTGAACCTAAGCTTCCCAGACTCGCAACAGGAAACCGTCCATTATAGTGTATTACAAAGAGACCATTCAAACAACATGCAACTACGGATACAGAATCTCGATCCAGACATTATATTTCTCATCTGAGTGCATATGTCCTGGAACACCAGCGCTGCTACAGACTCGGTCAACAGAGGTGACCTAAAAACATTATCGACAAGGCACTCTGCTTCATAAACGAATGCAAGGTCTAAATGATAATAGAAAATAAACTTAAGGACATAGCCAACCAGTTCTACAGTCTTCCGCAAGGCCCACCAGCCTCCCCCATTCTATTCTTCCTATACACAGCACCGACTCATAAAGCCTACCTATAGCCTGATCTGATATGATGGTAAAGTATCTATTACTATTGACATTTGGTTATAGTGTGTTTCAAAGTCGATACCCAAAGTTGTGGTGAGCTGTTATGATTCAGAGTCACAATTGAACAGTCTCTGATTCATAGCTCCTTCTTCCTGACTATAAATTACCCTCTCTCCCCGCTCCAGAAGAGGTTTCGAGATTTACACGATTTCCACAACTCAAATTGACACTTTAAGTAGACAATGATGAGTACATTACTGCCTCTACCTACTGGAAGGGTTAGACGATCTAGGGCAAACAACCCAGGAAGGGAAATTGCCAAGGGCGCCAGGTACCGGGAAACTGCATTCGCTGAGAAGCGTTACCATTGCGAGGAACGCAACATCTCCTTGACCACTCAGCATGCCCTTGATAATCATTACAAATCGTCGAAGCACAAGCGTAAGCTTGTGGACAGGCCCTTGCAATATGGCCCTTCACAATCTCTGCTGGCATGGCGGGACTGAGGCCCACAAGAAGGTGGCAGATGCTCTCGCTGCCGGGCAGACAGTCCATCCTGACATCTACAAGACGTACAACACTAGGACCAAGGAGATCAACCCAAACCATCTCTAAAAATGCCGTCCTTGCACTTACAGTACCAATGCATCCGGAAACTGGGTCTGCCACCAGAAGTCACCGAGTCACAACAAGAAGAAGGTATAAGGGACGAAATTAGTAGGTCACTTTATGCAATTTAGGTTATAAGTTTAGGTCATTTATTTTTATACCCTAAACTTAAGAGGCTATCTTTTGGTAGTTGCATTATCTTATGCATGATCGATAGCCGATGGATGATATATAAATCTGAATTGGAATGACAGGATACTAAACGTATGGCCTTGTAGCCCGTTTATATTATCTATCCATATTGTTAAACTATTGGGTTATTACTGCCATGAGCATCTCTTTGTTTTGCAAGAAAGCTTAGATGGAATGTCTCGCATACTCAATATTTCCTAAACATTATGATCATATGAACCACGATGCGTATGGTAGTACTGGTCGAGAATACAGGCGAGGACATCTAGGGTCATCTTTATGTAAATAATGCTGAGTACCTCCACTAAGGCTATTTGTATCGTTTTTGGAGATACCATCACGACGATATAAATCGTACTTTTCACCCCCTGAATCAACATACCGAAACACGCTCATGTATTTTGGTAATGCCACCCAATGAATGTTGCCATATGCTCCAATTCTGTTGTAAGTAATCCCTTTCCCAAACGCCACCCCAGCTGCACATGCAATATCGTCTTCCAGGTCATGGAAGGTAAAACACCTGGCAAAAAAATCCGGCCTCGCAACTTTTGGGCTTTCCGACGAAACTAAACCTTTAGTTAATACCAAATCCCAAGCTATCGGTCCCCGTTACCCAATTCTTCCACGTTGACTAGGGCGGTGTCGGATTGTCGGATTTGGTCATACGTTCGTTTAGCCTGAAGGCAGCAAATCGCTTAGCAAGGGGTTCACCCGAGTCGCGAATGGGATCTTGGAAAGAAGAGGATGAGGAGGGCGAGGAAACATCACCGTCCTCCCGCTGACGTTTGGGGATTCTCTCACCAGTCGATTGAAGGATAGCCTGGAGGGTCTGCCAGCCCTCAGTAGAATGAAGCTGGAATGTATCAGCAAGATCATGCTGGCTTGCTACACGACAGAGCAAGGCTTCTTCGTCCTGTATGATATGTTAATAAATTCTATCGAATCTAGACCGAGATGCGCACCTTTGAAAGGACACCCATCTGCTGAATGAAGCAGAGAAGGTGAAAGTTGGACACTTCTTGTCCAGTAGGTTTCTGATTGGGTGATAGCTTGACAAATTTGGACAGAGCAGAGTGTTCTTGGCTCTCTCCGACATATTCTCGATTCTCGATAGGGAAACCCTGCTGGGTGAACATAGGCTTGGGATCGGCAGGGAAACCGTGGGTTAGTGTGACGAACAGGTATTCGACAGGGAAAGATGGCTTCGCGTTCTCTTGAACATTGGCACCATACTCGTTAACTCTTCGATAGAAGACTTCTGGGATGTATCGTGTGCGGCTGACTGACCCGTCATCTTCCTCCTCATCTCGTACAAGCATGACGTTGGGGTCAGCGGATGGCTCGACAATGTCTGCACGAACCATTTCGACAGACTCGTTTGACATCTGGTAGGATGAGATGGATATTTCACCATCCTCATTACCAGTGATGATGCATGTTACAAAGTTTGAACCAAAGTTACCGGTATCACTCCACTTGGAAGCCTTAGGATACTGAGCTTGCAATCGCGAGGAAAAGCAGATTTCGAGAGAAGACAAGAAATAAGAGTCGGCATGACGCTTACAGACCACAGAGCCATCTCCGTTGCCAGAATCAAGCAAATCAGTCCAGATGACGCCTACCGGCTCGAGACCACACTGCTTAGCTACATTGTCGATCTCCTTCTGAGACTCCCATGCGTTCATGGTGATGCCGTCAAGCTCATCAACTTGGGGAGGTTCGTATATTGCCTCGACAATAGCCTTGACTCCGAGAGGGACTTCGGTGTATTCGACATATTTTCCGTAAAGATAACCTAGACGCTGGGCCCCAGTCTTGCGCCAAGTATCGATGAAGGTGTCGATGATGGAAGGCGAGGAGAACTCGACGTGGTCGACCATTCGGAATTGCTGGGGTTGCAGAGTAATCGCACTGGGTTGACACTTTGTGCAGATACCCTCAGGCCATGCGGGATGACCTGAGGGGCAATCATGCCTTACTCGATAGAAGGGCTCGACCAGAGGAGGAATGTATGAAGCTCCGAGTTCAGGCTTGTTCGTAGCAGCATTGATTTTTCGTAGGTACGAATGAAAGGATAGGTACTTGATCTTCTTTTCTGCTAGGTATCCAGCATCAAAAGGATCGAGGGGTTGGCAGTAGTCGCACATGCCCTTGGGGCCATGGCGGCACATGCGATCAATTCCTCGAGGAATTTTGCCATTCTGTCGGTCTAATCGATCGTCCAAAGCTGACTGGCGTACCACTTCCCACGGTCTAGAGATTCTCTCGGGCTTGGGGTTAATAGGTAGGTCTTCGACTGGAAGTACTGGCTTTCCGTTGAGCCTGGCAGAAGTGTTTGATGTCTCGGGAGTTTCGTCATCGGCGGCGGCATCGGCATGTTGGTAGGTGAGAAAGATGAGATCGCCGTGCTTGAGGCCAATCTGACCAACTTTGAAGTTGATGATATCGCCTAGCCGCTTCGAATCACCTCCGTTTGGTGCGTTGGACAAAGCTATAGTCTTGGGGTCGACGGTTTTGGGAAGTTGATCGAGTAGCTAATGACATCAGATGTTAGTGGGAATACGGGACAAGTTGAGCATGAGAGACGACAAACCAGCTTTCCCAAATCTCCAAAGGTAGTTGTTGGCTCGACAGTTAGACGAGCCATGCCGTCGGGGCCCCGAAGTCGCAGCAACATGGTAGGTGTTGTTCCAAAGAGTTGTTGCTGTGATATGTTCTTTGGTGGGGGTACCAGCGTATTCTTTATTGCCTTCGCACGATGTTGATGGTGTAAAAGACAATAACGGCAAGCTGAGTTAGAAAGGTAACAAGAGTAGGAGAGCCTTGCAAGTGATTCAACGAAGCAATAGCATGGAATAGAAGAGAGAAGCAATGGACCTCAAGCTCGAGCCTAGGTACCTACTATGTACGTACCTTATCTAAGGTCGCTAGGTGCTCACTTCAGCAGTCAAAGAAAACACAGCGTCATCCCCACGGTGCCTGCCTGCCCTACGCTACGAGTGGAGAAAGAGCTTATCTAATGCTTTAGTGACGTCGCACGGCAGTCAATTCCAGGGCCCATCTGCCTGGAAGGCTGCACAGCCACGACCAAGACGCCACACTAGACAAGAAAGAAACGTTATCTGGCCTAAAGGTGAATGCGCCACATCACCACTTTCGCTGTAGACTATTACTTACTGTTCTGCTGTATTCTGTATTCGTGTCGATTAATCAATCCCACACTCTCAGTACACGGCCGGCTCGAATTCTTTCTTGACACTCGTTTTAATTACGGCACGCAAATACATCGTGTTTTTCTTTTCAAAAACTTCTTTTTCATCATGTTCAACATTGATTGGAAGGGCCTTGCCCTTCCCTTTGCCTATGTTATCGTTCTCGGCAGCGCCCTCATGACATTCTCGACTATTTATCGGAAACGACAGGCTGGTATGTTTTTGACAGATATGAAAAGAAAGACATACATCGAACGGGCACTAACTATCGGGTACAGCTGAGAGCGCCAACCTGGCCCCGTGGTTCGGCCCTCATCTCCAGCGCAACGTTTACCTGTCCCTGCTGCACCTCGAAGACGGCAGCGAAAAGAGCCCCAAGGTCCCCGAGAGCGTTCTCCGCGCTGCCCTGTTGCGCCGCGCAGTGGAGGATATCCGCCGTCTCATCCAGATCAAGTCAGCCAAGCAAGCCTGTGGTTCTTTGTTGGCAAAAGGCAGCGTAGGTGATGATCTGTGGCAGCGATTTCAGCGCGCTGAGAAGGAAATGGAGGAGGAGTTGAGAGATGTTGTCACAGAGGTATGTACCCTCGTCTACTCTGGCGCATGCGCTTTGAGGTAATGCTCAGAATATCTTGCTGATTTTAAATAGGCCAATGCCCTGGCTCCTAACTGGGGCCAGTCCATCTTCCAATCCGCCCACGAGATGACCGCCAACGCTGCTATGCGCAGCTCAATCGAAGAGATTCTCGCCCAGGCCGAGTCGGAGAAGCAGTGGTGGGAGAAGCGCCGTGGACAGATCCAGACAGAGTTCATGAAGGAGCTTGACTCTGAGCAGAGCTCTTCCGCCAAGGCCACCAGCGAGGAGGATGCTGTTCTGATTGATGGCCCTTCAAACTAGTGTCACAATAATCGAATAAAGGTGTAGTTCCAAAGTGACGGATTACAAGAGTGAAGAAGTCTTTATACACACACAAGTTTAAACCCATTTCCTCTTACATAGGTTTGTATAGTATACCACGGGTCACTTAGGCGCACACTCGGTGTGCATCGGAATGACGATGAGAGGAATGAACATCAATCGGCGTTACGGGTGTTTTGTTTTGAGTTGATAATAGTAGCATGGGCTTCTTCTCTATTGATATATGGCTTGCCTTTCACCTCTGTACTCCTATGAAAATGCAATGATGCGCGCTGGCTAGTTGGCCATGTCTAGCAATGCGACCTCCTAGATGCAAACGAAAGAAAAAAACCGAAATCAAAACATATGCAAAATCCTTTGGACCCAGAAACACCAACTAACAATAAAAAAAACAGACTATTACCCCAAGTTAACGAAACCAACGCTGAGTATCCCTCGCTTGATGCAGATCAGGAAAAGTGCTTGCGCCTCCAAAGGTCCTCCTCGGCCGCGAGTCTCGCTCTGCGTGCCTCCGCCAGGATCTCATCCTCGGTCTTGAGCAGGATGGGTGATTCGCAGCCTCGAAGGCCAATGAACTTGCCCATCTTGCGCCGCTTCTCCTCAAGAGGTAGATCGGATCTCCATGCGATTGGGCAGGGATACTGGTTCGTCCATGGGCTGGGCGTCCTCTGGTGGTAGAAATGGGCGAGAGACTCGAGCTGCTCATCGGTGAGCAACCAGAAGTTGAGGACGGTAGTGGGAAATGAAGGATGGACGGCGCCTGTCGTGAGCTGGACCAGAGGCGCCAGTGGTAGAGCCATTTGTTCCAGCTTGCGTTGAAGACTTGGGTTCTTGGCAAGTCGTCGCTGAGCAAATGCCTGGCGGTGCCTGGAAGGGATCTCGCCTCGCATCATAGTGGCGGCTTGGTCGTTGCTGGTAAAAGAATGAGAGGTTGGTCTTTGTAGAGTTGAGTTGAGTTGAGTAGAGAATAGCCTTAAGCTTTCTTTTTGTAGATCAAGAGCTCCAGTCTCTTATTGCCTCCCAAGATTGACACTTCTGAATAGGAATAGTACTTGTAGGTGATCAATGGTCAATGATGAGTGGTGATTGTGAATTGGCTTTGGCGGGGTGGCTATTGACAGCGGTCTTCTCCGTAGAGTGGTTCAGTAAATGACAGCACCGACTGGAGTTTTGAGTTTTGTAGTCGAATCTTTGACTGGTATTTGTTGCTCGGACTATCCGCGAGGCTTGCCTGGAACTGAGGCAAGAACTGAGAGGCTGAAGACAGAAGCAGAAAGTCTAGTTAGAGAGAAGGAAGAAATGGAAGAAAAGGAAGAAATGGAAAGAGATGTCTTGTAGTTAGATACTAGATACTAGATACTAGATACTAGATACTAGATACTGACTGTCACTCTTATGGGCGAAACCCCGCCTTCTTGTATGGGAAGACATGAGAAGCTAGGATCGCGAACAGCCAGTCGAACGTCTTTGTGACCGGAAGCCGTTCTTGTTCTCGCTCTGCTCTGTTCTCTTTTTGGAAACAAAACCCCCAATGCCCGTACGCACGCGCACACCCCCTTTGACTTGAATCTTTCTCCAACAGCAGCTGTTCTGGGCAAAGTGGGCTCTGACAGCTCAGAGACCTGAAGTTGGAACCGCTTTGAGCTCTTCAACTCTTGCTCTGTCTGGTCTGCCACACTTTGAGTCTTGGGAACTAAAAGCCTTCCTGCCAGCGCAGAGAGTAGACGGACCCGGCTCCAGGTAAGACTCAGGGTTTATTAGTGGTGTCGAAACTGAGACAGAGAAGACTCTACTGCACTACTGTGCAGTGTGGTAGAGAGGGAACCGAACCAACTACATTAGGTATGTACTGTACATAGATAGACGCAATTGGGTTGGTCTGGAGGCGCTTGGTTCATCCAAGCAAGTAACACCAACAAACGATGGCGTGGAATGTGACTGGTGGCCATGACTCAAAGTCATGTCTCGAACAAGACAATGATGGGGTCGAGATAAATCGAGTTTACCGCCTTTTATTAATATTTCATTCTTTCTTTCTTTTGTTCCACATTCATTCACCATCAAAGACTACTTACTACATACCTATGTAGGCATCATAATTAGCAAAACTCACATGATGCTTTGTCCTATGCAGTTCGCTCCGCTCCCGGCGTCTAGTCTTATTCTACTGCTGCATGTCTTGCATTCTGCTGCGTTGGCTGTACTCCAAAATCTCCAATTGCAACCCTTCCAGCCATCTGGTGTCTTAGACTGACGACGCTTTCTTCTTCCGTGGCTATTAACTCAACTTTGGTCTTCATTAGATGCGAAAAATCAGAAACAAGTAAATAAAAAACCTGCTCCTGAGACATAGTTAATTCCGTCCCTCCCCCTCCTCACGAGAGCCCACAAAGAGCCACCTTTATCTGCGGTTGCGGTCTTTAAGTGCTTATTCTTTATCGCCATGTCTCTCTTTTTACAAACTCTGTTAGCCAATTTCAAATGCAAACATGTCTAGAGCCACTTCAGCTTGGCGATATGGTCCGTTTTCTTCTTGCTTGCTTTGACAAATCCTAAAGCCCTCAGCTCAGCCAGTGCACGGTAAAACAGGGCCAGCGATTTGCGTTCGTCCGTTTCCTCGTTGCTGATCAGTGCGGAAAATGCAGTCCATAAATCTGCTACATTGATGAGGCTTCCAGTCTCAGTGTATAGGCGGTATAAAAGCGCAGTAGCTGGTAGCGTTGCTGGGGTTTCTTCATCATCTGGCTTGCAGCATGAACACGACAAGTAATCGTGGGGTCTTATGAGGCTGCGCTCCAGGACGGCCCGCGGGCGAGGTACAAATACATCTCGTGATGGGGCTCGAGAATCGTATAGCCAGCTTTCCGACAACAGCATAGAGCCAGGCTTGGGGATCTGGACATGTTCGATAAGCAACGCTGTGATGTCGTTAACGATCTGAGTAAGTTGCTTGTCCTCCTCAGTAAGTGCCGCTGAATCGTGGCTCAGTTGAACTCTTTGTGCAATAACAGTGGTTCGTGCAATCTTGCTCTGACCACTGTACTTGCTTCGTAGCGTGATGCCCTCTTTTTGTGCTTTTGAATGCAGTTGTTCCAAGCTGATGAGCTGCCTTGATAGTGCATTTTGGAAATCAATATCTGCCTGCTTTGTTGCCGAACCGAGTAGCAGATCAACCTCTCCGTCTCGCAAAATTGCGACCAACTTTCGAAGTAGAGCCAGTAACTCGCTGGCATCCATACGCTGCACCGAATCGACAGCTTTTGAGCTTTCTGTTATTGAGATACCCTCGTCCATAGCCTCAACATAAGATTTTGAAAACTCAATGTCGTGGGCTTCTGCTTCTCTGAGAATAAGCAGTGCCCGCAAGAAGTCTTCGATATGCTCTTGCCGAGCGGTAAGGCTATTTTGAACCTGCAAGGTGAGGAAGTCATTGTTTTCGAGTAGATCCTTGGCATATTGCACGCTATCTAAGACTCCAGTTTCCACTGCACTCTCAACATTTTCTCTGAAAGAGTTTGTATGCCGAATTGCTTCAATATGCTCTGCTTGAAAAGATGACGCATGGGAAAGGACACTGAGGGGATTCGCATAGAAGTGACACATGTAAGCGTACTATCGCTCTTAGTAAGAATTCAACCTTGTTTCAACTGTGTAGAACTTACCTTTAAGGACATGGTAAAGGTCTGGATGCCCGAGACCTGGTCATGCTGTCGATCCAACATGCCGTGAAGAAGTGACGTGCCCATCAACACAGGAGTATCCGACGCTGCTACGGCGACTTTGAAGACGTTCTCAAGAATTGCCGAGGTCTGGATCACATCGAACTGTGCTCCATAAATCTGCTGGCATGCAGCCTTGAGCAGTCTGGCTTGAAGGAGCTCGACTGATGTGGCGATACCAAATAGAAGAGTAAAGGGGATACGTGGGCGCCAAGAGCTTGAGGAATTAGTAGGAAACAACTAGTTTCAAGAAGGGAAAACATACTTGAAGAGAATGATCAAGTCGGACAACAGACTACTGTCGAAGCCTTCGCTGTCTTGGAATGCAACGAAGACATGTTCGCAGTTCTGGGATTTGATAAATGCGTGCAAGGCCTCAAGATCATAGCCAAGATGCCGTCGCCCCTGTGACACGTGAGAACGTATTCATTCTGTCGAGTTGGGTGACTTACCTCAAGACCATCTCCAACTTGGAGATCATCGTCCTCATCATCAGAGACTTTGGCTGTGACATCTCGAATAACCTTTTTCAATGCTGCTTTGAGAGTTGATGCTTCCGAGGACCGCAGACCAACAAACTTGCTTGGTGTTGTTTGTTGCAGTGTCTCTGATAGCTGCTGGAAGAGAAGGTCCTGTGAAGCAATGTTGGGTCCGGTGATGATCAAGGCTGATGGAATCCTATCCCCACTGTACGAGAATTAGGGGCTGCGTGCATATGGACAATCAATCAATGTCTGGGTTGGGTTCTTACGAGTCTGTCACTGCATCCTCGACAAAATCACTGACTTCGTGTAGAGTTTCTAAATTCGAGTTTTTGAGAATTTCCTATTTTTACGTAAGAGTAGTTTCATGGAGAAGTCATACAAACTCACCTGAATGCGTTCATCAACCTTGGCCCAGCTCTCCTGGAATAAGGTCTCCCTTAAGTGGACAAACTCAGGCTTCTCGGCGCCGTTGAGCAGAGGTACGAAAGATGATGAGTCTTTGATAGATTCTTCATCTTTCTGAGCTTGCCTTGACACTCTTTTGCGTTTGGCAGACTTCTTCTGCGTCCCACCATGTTCAGGGTCAAAAATATAGGCGACCTGTCTGTTGCATTAGCGGAAACGGTCCATGAACCTTGAAACAGGGTTGAACGTTACCTGATGATCCTCTTGACTGTAGGCCTCTTGTTCAGCTTCTTCACGTGTCATGATTATTTTTTCGACGACGCTGATAATGACAAAATTCTGGAGTTGAAACTCATGAAGCTCGGTTTTGTATTAAAGGTCAACGCGTTTTCAGACGGTGAGCGCGCTCCATGACACTGTATTGCGCACTGTATCCTAGCGACCGCTACTAACAGCCTGAATGTTAACCTTGCAAAGGCAACTTGAGACGGCGATACATAGGTAGGTAGTTTATGCTATTTAGATCATTTCATGGGGTCTAAAGCTTAGGTTAGAGTCCATCTTTTAGATAGAAACAGCATGGCTGTTTGAAAAGCAACTTGCAATGTTTCTTGAATATATAAATTTCATCCTCGAGTACATCTAGTCCTTTGTCCCGTTCATCATCTGCATGCCATTGCTCACCAAGCCCACCTTCGTTCGATGCGCCTCCTTTCGAATTTCATCTCATCCTTGAGCTTCACATGGCATTCCTTATATCACCTGCCATGTGAGCTCTTACTATCCTCTGGTTCAAAGAATCCCATATTAGACGAGGCTCTGAGTCCCAGCATCCTCAGTTTTTGCCGTTTGTACACCCCTGGAAAAGACATTTCTTGCCCCCATCCCTGCCAAGCCCATCACGACGGAAGCGAGTCGCGCCGCAGCTCTGCCACCAAATTTGGCAGATATTCATACAGATAGCGAAAAAGACGCGATGAAGTAAGTCACTTTTACCACAACTGAAAAGAGAAGACCGTAAGAAAAGGTAAAAGAGACGGAAAATACCAGTACTGGTAGACCATAACCTTGACGCCACAAAAGAATTTGTTCTAAATCACAATGAGCCTCGCAACGCCATAATTAACTCAAGCGGCGGTTTCAACAGGCTCAGGAGGAGCGACAGTCTTCATTCATGTTAGCAAAGTGAGCTCCGGTGGGGTACGTGTCAAGGCCAGCGCTTACGTCATCCTTCTTCTCTTCAGAAGCCGAGGCTTGTGGTGTCTCCTCGATTTTCTCCTCTTCAGACTTGTCGTCCTCGTTGGGCTTCTCAACCTTGGGCTCCTCGGTGGTCTCCTTACCGCTATCGTCCTTCTTCTCTTCTGGCTTGGCTTCCGAGTTGCCGTTCACTCCGTTGGCGGACTCTGCGGCAGGGGCTGCGGTTTCGGCAGTCAAAAGCTTATTCCACTTGTCCAAAAGAACTTGCGAACGGTCCTTGAAGTGGAATTCGTCCTCACGTGGGATTGACTCCAGCTTGAGAATGGCCTTAAGAACCTTGTTGATCTTTGTCGTGCGGATGATAGACACTTCCAAATCCTTTAACTTCTCCAGCATAGTGACGTACTCGGACATCTGCTCCATCTCTGTTTCCTGGGGCTGTTGATCCCTGGTGAGGAGGCCACGTTGAAGTTTATGTCGGAGGTAGAGTACCTCTTTCTGTTCAATAATTAGCATTGTCCGAGACTGTTGCATGACTGTTATCTCTATACCTCTTTCTGGTGTCGTCGCTCCTCGGGAGTCACTTTGGCCTTCTTGTTGCCCTCGGCCTTCGCATCACTAGTCTTCTTGACCTTCACCTTGGTTTTGGCAGCAGAATCTTCTTTACTCTTGGGAGCGCCGTTAGCAGCCTTAGGTGTGGAAGTGTTAAGCTTGATCTTGGGCTTCTTAACCGAGTCGGGCTTCTGTGGTGTCTGATTCGGGAACAGTTAGCATCTTGGTTTTAAATAGACATGCAGGGATCGTGCTTACGCTCACGTCATCTTCAGCCTTGCGCTTCTTAGACTTTGACTTCTCCGTTGTGGTATCATCGACGTCCTCCATATCGACATCTTCGTCGGAGGCTTTAGCCTTTCCCTTCTTGGCCTTCTTGGGTGTTGCTGCGGCTTGCTGCTTTGCAATGTATTCTTCTTGAAATTGCTTCAGCATGTCCTTGTAGGTATCGAGATCATTGTGTTCGGATGCGCGCGTGAATGCCTCCTTGAGATCCTTGCGCATCTTCTCGGTAATAGTTTCCAAAGCCTTCTCAGGTGTGAGCTCTGTAAGTTGTGTATTTGGCACCCAGCCACTGTAGTCAGGTCAGAGAGAGCCCAGGATCCCGATAGGGGGCAACTTACAATTCATTTGTGTGGAGATACATGACAGGGAAGGTTCTGTCGTTGGCACGTTTGCCACCATCGGCGTAGGCCTCTGTGTAGGTGCCATCAGGCCGCGCTGCAGCTACAGGGCGACTGTCGACCAGAGCTTGTGGCAGCATTGATTCATCACAGATAATGGCAGGCCAAGCGGGGAATCCCTTGAGCTTGACTAAGAAGTGGTCTCCTGGCTTGGCGTCCAGATGCGTGAGGCGCGCCTTGGAGGCTTTCTTGGTCAGGCTCTTACGGTTGTTGCCGCCAGTTGATTTGCGTCGATTGTTCTTGCCCTTTCCTGAGGTAGTTTCGGTGGCAGCGTTTTCGGCCGCTGTCTCGCCATCGACAGAGGGCGCCGAGTTCTCTGTCTTGGTCTCCCCAGCAGCCGAGGTCTCGGGCGCGTCCTTCATTTCAATATCGGCACCCTCTTCCACGGGCTTTGGTGCTTCGGTCGCGTCTGTGTTTCCGACGGTCTTCTCTGGGGTTCCGGCTTCGTTGTTTCCTGATTGCGCAGCATGGTCAGCATGAGTCTGACAAAGGGAAGGACGCGCCTGTGCCAAAGAGCACGCGAAAAATCAGGGCGCGACTTCGACAGCAAATCAATCGTGCGTGCGGTAGACGCCGGACATGCCATAATCATGACTTACCTTCAACGACCTTTGTCTCCTCCTTATTTGCTTCGGCATCGGTCATCGCGGCGTCGTCTCCGGTTGATGATGGCTCCACAGGCTTCTCGGCTGCGGGAGCTTCCTGCGCGTCAGGAGCAGGAGCCTCAACTTCAGGCTTCTCGGTAAGCTGATCCGACATTATAAAGATGGTTATGATGTTTCGCTGGTCAATGTACACAGCAGCTAGAGATATAATTCCAGTTGGCAAAATATGGGCGAACGCGTAGCTCTTCGAAGACGTAGCGCGCGCGTCAATGGGGCGCAAGATTCGTAGCGCGATGAAGGGTTGTTAATGAAATTGTTGCGCAATTGATGAAAGAAAGGTGCTTCGTCGAGATGCTGGGGTGTTGGAGGTGACGAAAGAAAAACGCTGATACGAGTTAACGGGTTTGGCCTGAGCAAGGGAAGCACTTTCAAACGTCACCAGAGGATGGATGGTCACGTGATGCGTACCGGCAGGCAGGCTGGTGGGTAACAGAAAAGTCTTGAAGACACAAAAATAAACAGTCTAAAAGTCCAATGTGAATAGGATAAGCTGACCTACTAATTTCGTCTCTTGTGGTTCCTGCAGCCAGCTTTTCCGATACTCTGAGCGGCCTGGCGGCGTCATCAGCAACCCAACCCCAACCCCAGGCTCTTTTCTTCTCACACAGCATCAGAGGCCAAGCGCGTAGTTGACTCTGATTCGACGCCTAGGTATACGAGACCAACTCAAGGGCGCGTCCCTAGTCTGTTTCCCCAGCATCTTCGCTTCTTCCTCCCCGCCCAAGTCACGTCGTCGGTCTGGCCGTGACTAGACGCGTTTGGTGTTGTGAATACTTGTCTCGACCCTTCACGCCTCCCAAACTCGTGTGGTATCGTTAAACATCCACGCAACTCAACTTGTATCGGCACAATTCTCCTCAAAGAGCACATCTCAGTCACATGCAATGTCCCAGGTCATCGTCCCAGTTGATAGATTCGAATATTATAACCCTAAATTCGCATTCGTGATTCTGCAGTAGTGTACAACGCCATTGCTGGCCATCGCCGTGGTAATTGGGGTAGGCAATGGGCTTTTACTCGTCGTCCTCGTCCTCATCCTCCTCATCATCGTCGTCCACGTCCATGCCTTCGGCCACTGTAACCGAGAACTCCCGCTCTTGATCAACTCCAACGTAGCTGTCGCTCATTAGGAACAGCTTCAAATCATGCTCACCTTCCGATGGCACAGTGTACTCAAGGCGAACGTTAAGCTCCCGTCCAATCGTCACTCGCTTGATAGCCAAGAGGCTCTTGGTCTTCTCTTCACCAACAACCAGCCACCAATTCTCCATCTTCTTGGAAGGGTAGAACGGTGCATGGACAGTAGAGTCATAATCGCTATCGTCCTCCTCCAGATTGCGAGTAATCTTGATGTTCAAGTAAGCGGGTTCACGAGCCCTGATTTCGTCTTCATCCAGAACCTCATGCTCAAGCTCAAGATCGGGGTACTTGTCGTTTGTGAAGTTAGCCGCCTCTGCCAATTGGTTTTGGGACATGCCAAGTCGCTTGACAAGCTTGTTGTAATCGGCGTTCTCTTCCGGATTCATGGCTTCCATGAAATCAAAAATGTCCTTGATTCTGCAAAGATTGTTAGCTGATACTTTGATTTCCAAATCACAACATTTTACATACCCAAACTCATTAGCCACCTTAACAACCTCCGGAGAGAAGTGAGGAATCTGCTTGAGGGGGCTATCACGGTCCCACATTGCTTGAACAATCATTTGCGACATCTCCATGGCACTCATGGCATTGAGGTGACCCTCTGAAGACAGGATGTCGACCATTGCGCTGAGAAGACTCAGGACCTTGGTCAGTAGGATCTCCTGATCCTTCGCCAAGTCAATTGGCAACTGCATGCGAGAGAAGTGAGCCTGGAGAAGAACAAAAGACTTGAAGTGAGGTGAATCGTAAACTACTTCAGACATTTTGACAGGAACTCGGTCGTAGATGCGTCGCAACAAGCTATCCTCATGACGTCTGATCTGAACCGTCTCGAACTCGGTAGCCGATGTGACAATCTCCATAATACCCTTGAGCTTGGTACGAGCGCCCAACGAAAGGATGAAAGTCTGCATGGTGATGTAAGAAATATTGTAGTAAGCGGCAATCATGGCAGCATTCTGAGGTGCGACAGATCCATCGTCTTCATCGAAGTCGATGATCTTAGACTCGCTGAGCTCGCGCAGAGTTGTCTCAACCAAATCAGACATGTAGTTACTGAGGCCTTCATGTGTTGTGCTGGTCAAACTATAGTAGCTAGGGTTGGCGAGCAGCCTTCGGTAGAAGTATGTAAAGGTGGTCCAGTTGATCGCATCATCGCCAGACTCAATCATCTTGGTGCTGATTTCCGTCACGAAAACATCGTGCAAGTAGTTATGTAGGTGTGACTCGACGGGAAGAGCCTCATTAAGGAACTTCTTGTAGTACTCGCGCTTGACCTGGGGCAGCATAAGAACACCACGACCGCGTCCGTCCTTGGACGGGCGAAGGGCTTTGCCAAACATGTGAAGCACCTCACTGAGTGGGTAATCAACATATCGATGCTCACGACCCTCAAAGTATTGTGTACCCATGACTATGACAAGGTGGGCGGTGCTGTTCAACTCCCAGCAAACATCTCGAGATGCGACAAGTACCTGGATAGCACCCTTGTCATAAAGATGCTTGACAATTCGCTTGTCACTCTGGCTAAGAGCCTCGTGGTAGTAGCCAACACCGTGCGAGAGTGCCTCGGCGAGCGCCTCCTCGTTAATGCGATCAAGCAGAGGTTGCATCTGTTCCACCTCAGCATGAAGGAAACGATCCTCCTCCTCGTCAGCAAACGCTGCGGCAAGTAGATCTCGGGCGGTTGCTCGAGTCTGCTTGCGGCTGGGTACGAAGACCATAGCAGGCTTGTCAGGAGACATTTGTGTGATAGCCAAGTATGTCGGCTTAGCCATTGCCAGCATAAGAGAAGGGAAATGGGTGTTGGTAAATGACTGAAGGTGAAGCTCCAATGGCACTGGCCGGACATGAGGGCTGAAGTTGTAGATGTCATGCTTCTTCGCATCAATCCATTCACCGATATCTCGGGCATTTGCTAGCGAGACACTCAGTGCGATAATTCGCAGGGGCAACTCGGTTTGGGTACGGATATAGTGCATACGAGAAACAATAGTCTCGTACACGTAGCCCTGGGAGTCGCCAAGCAAGTGGAGTTCATCGGCGATGAAGAGCTCAACTGTCTGGACATTCTTGCGTCGTTTCCACTGTCTAGACAGCACATCCCATTGGGTGGGTGTTGCCAGGATCAAATCGCCCTTCTCCAGGAGCTTGAGGTCTGTGGCAGTTTCGCCAGTGAGCTTCACAATCTCCTTACCGCCGTTGAGGGAGCCAAGTCTCTTCTGCCAATCTTGTAGGCGAGTGTCAACAAGCGATTGGAAAGGAGCAATGTATACAGCACGACCAACCTCGCCCTTCGTCCAGTGTCTTAGAAGAGCAAACTCGGCGCATACGGTTTTGCCGCTGCCAGTGGGAGCTCCAACAAAAACGTTCTGATCCGTCTTGTAAAGCGAGTTGAAAGTTTGTGTTTGAATTCGATTAAACTGCTTCCATGAAGGATAGAGATTGACGTAGTCCTGCAACTTCAGGGCGGCAACGGGGAGGGGCTGGAGCTCGAGAAGTTCGGTATGAGGAGGGAACTTCTCGGGCAAGATCAGCTTATGGAAGGCAACAGGGAGTCTAGTCTCAGCATGCATCCATCTATCAGAGATAACCGAAACAAAATAGTTGGGAGGCATAGGGTCCGTAATCGGTACGGTGAAGTCAACGATATGCTCGTTCTGCTCCGATTCGGCGTATTCCTTGCGTAGCAAGAATGTGTCATGGTAGAGGATGTCCTCTCCGTCACAATCCTCGACCAAAATCCAGAAACTCTCAGCAGCACCATGGATCGAATCGTCCCATTCAAAGTTGGGGCTGATACTGAGCTCGACACGCAACATCGATCTGGTCATAGGCTGGACCTGTGCCTGAACCTCAACTCGGGGGAACTTGGATACTAAGCCACAGACAGTTCGACCGGCTCGGGGCAAACCAAGAAGCTCACCCATGCGAGGGGGGTCCAGATCGAAGTAGCTGCTCCAAGATACATCAATCTTCTCGACCTTCTGGAGAACGTCCCTAGGGCAGGAGGGGAATTGGCGCAAGGGAGACATTGTAGGCCACATGCGCTTCTCGGCCATCTTACAAAGGTCCAGGGCTGTCTTGGCAACGGACGCCCAACCCTTCTTCAAAGCAATCTCAAAGATAGCACGCAGGATACGGCCGGCGGATTGTGTCACATATACCATATCAGCCATCAAGGCCAGGCCTTCGAGTTTGAGACGCGAGATGTATGCTTGCAAAAGCACATTAATCTTGGCATGAGGTTCCTCGATGCTCTCTTTAACGGGAATTGGCACTCGTCCCAGTAGCTTAGCCAGCTCCAGTTTTTCATCCTGTCGAACCGGAATATACTTAAACTCGGCGCTGAGGGCAAATACACGGAAGAGTTCGATGGTTGTGATGGAAGGCTGAATGAGGTTGTTGTATGTCTCCATGGATCCGAAGGTAATGTAGTAGTGAGATGCAATACGGCCCAGCTCTGTGGACTGTAACTTTCCTGTCTTCTCGTCGTACTTGATCAAATTTGACTTGCGCAAGACCATAGCTGCTGAGTGAATCAGATCAACTCGTTTCTGCTCAAGAGCCTCATCGTCTTCATACTCTGCGCCAACCTGATAAAGACCAGGAGAACGCAGCATTCTTACAAACAGATATGTGTAGCCTAGCCATTCAACACCCTCATCACGGGTCCTGACGTTGCCAAGTACAACCTCAGCGTTCAAGTTGTCCACCAGCTTGCTGACGAATTGACTTTCGATTGGAAGCTGCTGGTTCAGAAGCGAGAGATAGTACTGCATTTCACTCTGTGTTGTAATGATGATGCCTTCACCGTATGTGTCATATTGGGGTCGACCAGCACGTCCCAACATCTGGAGAACATCCTGAGGGCTGAGTTCGACCCAGCTACCCTTTTCAGGAGAGTAAACTTGCGTTCCCTTGATAATGACAGTGTGGGCGGGCAAGTTA